TTAGATGTAGGCTCCAAGTCCAACCCTGCTCCAGGCCAGTGCCCACAGACCCAGGCACCATGCCATCCAAGTCTGCCCCAGCGTGACTAGTATCAAAAGGACAAAAGATGACAAGTGTTAGCAAGGACATGAAGAAAAAGGAACTTGTGTACACCATGGGTGGGAATGTAAATCACTACAGACATTATGGAAGATAGTATGGAAGTTTCTCAAAAAGTAAAAACAACAACTACAATAAGACCAAGCAATTACACTTGTAGGTACATATGTGCAAAGGAAATGAAATTCAGAAAATAAGAGATATTCGCACTCCCATGTTCACTGCATTCACAATAGTCAAGATGTGAAAACTAGGACTGAAGATGTGCACCTTAAGTGGTAGGGCACCTGCCTAGCAAGTACAAGGGCCTGAGTTCAACCCCCAGTACTATAAAAAAATAAATAAAATAGAGATATGAAACTACCAACTGTTCCATGATATGATGGATAAAGACTATGTGATATAAACAATGAAATATTATTCAGCCTTAGAAATATTTTATGCACTTGCATAAAATCATGGATGGACCTGGTGGATACTATGCTAAGGGAAGCAAGCTAGGCACAGAAAGACAAAGTACTGAGTCACCTCATTTACCTGTGCTATAGAAAAAAGTCAAACTCAGAAGCAGAGTAGAATGGTAGTAGAAAGGTTGGTGCAATTAGATCAAGGGCAAACACAACAGTGGGATTGGACTCTGAGCACATGATAAAAGCGAGAGCACACAAGGCAGGGGTGAGGACAGGTAAGACACCTAAAAAATTAGCTAGCATTTGTTGCCCTCAATGCAGAGAAACTAAAGCAGATACCTTAAAAGCAACTGAGGCCAATAGGAAAAGGGGACCAGGAACTAGAGAAAAGGGTAGATCAAAAAGAATTAACCTAGAAGGTAACACACACACACAGGAAATCAATGTGAGTCAACTCCCTGTATAGCTATCCTTAGCTCAACCAGCAAAAACCCTTGTTCCTTCCTATTATTGCTTATACTCTCTCTACAACAAAATTAGAAATAAGGGCAAAATAGTTTCTGCTGGGAATTGAGGGGGTGGGGGAGAGAGGGAGGGGGTAGAGTGGGTGGTAAGGGAGGGGGTGGGGGCAGGGGGGGAGAAATGAACCAAGCCTTGTATGCACATATGAATAATAAAATAAAATTAAAAAAAAAGAAAGGTTGGTGCAGAGTTTCAGTTAGGCAGGATGATTAAGTTCTGCACAGTAGAACTTATGTACAGTAGAAGGTACAGTAGAAGGTACAGTATGGTTAATATCACATTGCATACTTGAAATTTACTAAAAGTATAGATCTTTAATGTCCCCATCATGAAAAGAAGGTAAATACCTAAGGCAATAGATATGTTGGTTTTATTGTGGTAATCATTTCACAAGCACGCAACTACAAAAACATGTTGCAGTGGCTCACACCTGTAATCACAAGTACTCAGGAGGCAGAGATCAGGAGGATCAAAGTTCAAGACCAATTCTAGACAGAAAGTTAATGAGACCCCATCTCAATCAAAAAGACTGGGTGTGTTGGTACAAATCTGCCTTGGTCTTAAGACTTCCCAGCCTCTAAGATTACGAGGAATTAATATGTGTTGTTTATAAGCTACCTAAGTTTATTTTTTCTTGTATTTTCTTATATTTTCTCAGAGCAGTCCACACCAAATCATTGATGTTCACACAAAAGTCTGTACATGAATGTTTTTGGAAGCTTTATTCATAATCACCAAAAATCACAAAAGCCATTTAAGTAGCTTTCTTTCCCTCTGTCAACAGGTTTAATAGATAAATTGTAGTATATACATACACTGGAATACTTAGTGATAACAAGGATAACACTTAAATGCATTTTGCTAAGTGAAAGAAGTCATTCCTATATATATGACATTCTAGAAAACAGCAAACTATAGGGACAGAAACAGATCTACAGTTTCCAGATTTTGGAAGTAGGGAAAGGGGTCAACTACAAAAGTTCAGCACTAGAGAATTTAGGAGTGATGAAACTGATTTGTGGTGGTGGATGCTATCAAATATAAAAATTTAAAAATCAAGCAGGAATTCAAATAATCAAAGATGTAATTGGGCCACAATGAATCCAACTGTACTACAGATGGGTGACAATATCACACTTACAGGGGTATGAAAAGACGAGCTAACCTAAGTAACTTTGGAAACCATTATTCTAACAAGACACTCCGAGACTTCAGACCAGAAGGAGGTATACAGATACCATACTCGGTGTCATAGGCAGAAAATGCCTCCTCAAAGATATCCACCACTGTATGCCTGGAATCTGTGACCACTACCCTAAATGAGAAAAAAATGGGTCCCTGTAGATGTCATTTATCTTGAGCTGGAGAGGTTATCTAAAGTATCCAGCATACATATCCCTATAAAAGGGAATCAAAGGGAGATTTCATAAACAGAGAGGACACATGGAGGTAGAACAAAGAGAAATTGAAGACACTGCACGTGTGGTTATTTTTGTCAACTTGGTATGGTACACCATTCTAGTGTTTGCTGTTTTCTTTAACTTTTTCTTTTCTATGTTGCTTAGGTTGGCCCCAAACTCATGGACTTAAGTGGGTGAGGTCCTGACTCAATCCCCAGTGCCAAAAAAAAAAAAAAAAAAAAGTTTGCAAAAAGGCATCAATTTTACACTTAAGAATTTTTTAATCTACATATCTTTAAAGCCCTAATTAAAATTCTAGGAGTCTCTACTCCCATTTCCAGCATGAGAGCAGGAAATGTTTACCTTTTTTTCCTGCTCCCTTTTGGTCTATACTTTTATCATGTTATACTAAAATGAATTCTTGCTAAAACTTAAAAAACACTTCTGCCTTTTCAGTGGAAAAATTCTGCCTAAGCCTTCCTTAGGCTTTCTAGTCCATGACAACCTTTCTTTTTCTATTACTTAAAACAACTGGTCTCTTCTTTATCACAAGTTGTAAACCATAGAAATAACTATACCTTTTATTGTAATGTGCTTTTGTTGCTTCCTGAGTTTTGTCTTACAACTTACCAAGTTACAAATTCTTTGAGTTAGGACTACATCTTCTGGACCTTCTATATGTTTTCAAGATGCCATGTACACTGTAGATACTTTTTATATATGTATTCCATTTTGCTCATCTGATAAACCTAACCATATCAGTGTGCTAGACATTTAAAGTACAAATAAACCATGGAATCACTGGGTCACTCAAAGATGAAACCAATTTTGAATCTTGTTTATTTATTTTGGGGGGAGTACTGGGGTTTGAACTCAGGGCTTTGCTTTTGGCAAGGCAGGTGCTCTACTACTTGAGCCACACTTCCAGCCCCAAATTTGAATCTCTTAAACAACAATAAACCAATTCAAAACTTTTGTCCTTTATTACATCAAAACTACCAATTAATTCAATCATGGAGTCATAAAATAAATATCTGATATGAAAACAAAAACTCCAGCTTTTAAATTTTCATCTTTAACCAGCTGTTGAAGGTTTGATTTTTTTTTTAAACACAGTTTAAAATTGTCTTTAATTCTATCATTAGTTAGGTCAGCTTTCTTCTTAGGTCTTTGGAAAGGCTTAATTTAACATTATTAGATATGTTACATTTTACTCTGAAAAAGCAGGATATACCCTCACACACAAGTTTGTTTACATATTAATACTGAGGAAGAGACACCCCCCCCCCAAAATATGTATGAAAGATTTTCTACTCACATAACAAGGTGTTCTGGGGGAGAGGAGAGCAGGTATCCTAAACTGACCTGCAAATGGTTTGAAAAAATCAAAGAAAGGTGACTAGATTAAGGTTTTTATAACAGTTAGGAGGTCAGAGTTCTCATACATGCTTTGAACTTCCTGCTGGCACTAGAGGAACAAGCAACCAGGTTTTCTTATAAGTTTAACCAGATATGGGGCAGAAGGGGAAAGAGAACGGGTGAGGTTTAAAACTGTGTCAGTAGTTACACATCAAAATATGAAGTCAAATTCTTTATTATTTCATAACACAATACAATCACTTTAAAAAAGCACAAAATACAAAGATATTGAGCAATATGTTCATATAATTCAACAATTTAAAATAATTTAAGCTATAAGTAGTTGACAAATACTGAATATAAAATATAAATATAAAAATGAAAATAGAAATATGAAATTTTTGTTGAAGAGAGCAATCAAAATTTAAGTGTTCTTCAAAAAATATTTAATCAAAAACAGGACTATCAATGATACAAGAATCAATTTTTCACATTAAATTAATTTTTCACATTTTATTTTGCTCCATTAAATACACTACCATAACCGATAGAATTTTTTGTATTTAGAAGAAAATAACACAGACTTTATTGTCATTAACATAAGTTCTTTAAAATTAATAGAATACCATCCTACATCATGCAATAGTGAAGCATAAGTGAAACCCAGTGATTTTTTTATTATTTATTTAGTTAGTTATTTTTTTACAGTACTGGTAGTTGAACTCAGGGCCTTGTACTTACTAGGCAGGTGCTCTAGTCCCCCAGTGATTTCGAAAGAATTTTTTAGCTGCTAAAGTACACCTCAGCACTAATTCTAAACGGTTATCATTAAAAGGTCTTCTGATGGTCTAAATGAGATCTTGCTCTTATCAAAACAACTAAAACACTATCACTATCAAAATAAACTTAGGTTCCAGGGAGAAGCAGGCTTAATATTTATAATAAAGATTAATTATATCAAGATTAATAAAAGTCCTTCCTGAACATGACTTGTAAAGTCAAAACCAAAATAAATGATGAGTAGCTAATGCTACAAATAAAAATAAAAATTCGGTATTTAAATAAATATAATCAAATAATGTAAGTACAGTAACTAACTCACTATTACTTTAATCAACAGAAGAATATATCTTCATGTTTTCAGTTACAATGTAAATTTATGCCCTAGTGATTACAGAGCATTAAAATAATTAAAAATCAATAACTAGTTCAAAAAAAAGTAAATTGCGTTGTATTTTGTGAGGAAGATGAAAAACCTTTTAAAGGAGAGGAAGGTATTGTGTTTTGATTCTGTTCAAAAGAAAATGGAAAACTAAAATCATCTTTTCCAGCTCCAAATGTATGAGATGAAGTGTCTGATGGAAAAGAAAATGTGAAGGCATCTTCTCCTTCCGGCTTCCCAAATAAGTTTCCTGAGAAGATAAATATTGCAAGGTCATGGCTATTTAGCATATAAAATTAATATAATCTAGTAGATTATAGCATACTACATATAATAAATAAGGTAACAATGAATCTATTTAGCAGATATTCAAATGTATTCCTCTTACACTCAAAGCATTGTCCTTGGTACTATGGTAGATAAAAACAAAACAAAAAAACCCTCAAACTGTAGCCATACTTGCAAGTAATTTAACTCAATTAATAAAGAACTAGTATACATGGCAGAAAGTGGGGTAAAAATACCTCAAATGAAGAGAATAGCACAAAGGCCCAGAAATAGGTGTGTACAGGAAGCAATGGGGTTACAAAAATCAACTCAACTTGGCAGGGGCATTGAGAAATAATAAAGATATATTAAACAGGAATTAATGAAAATGAGCTTGAAAAGACTGTTGAATGTTCCAGAAAAAGTCTGAACTTTATTTAATAGGTAACAGAAAATCATTAAGCATTTTCAAGTACAGATATGACATGATTTAAAGTGCTTTAGGTTTACTCGGGAGAGAAAGTGTAGAAAGGCTGGAACAGAAGAGTCTAGAAGTAGGTAAAAACAAAAGGAAAAAAAGTCTATGGTACAGCAAAGAGATGGTGAAAACCTCACTTATCCACCACTGTCACAATGGAAATGGAGAGAAGAAATATGTGGAATCTGAGAGATACTGCTTAAATAAACTTATCCAACTATTATTTAGAGAGTAACTACAATATATGTTTGCAGCATCATTCAAAGAAATTGACAGAAGAGTGGAAAGATTTCTACCATTTTAAAAGAAAAAATTTTAACTTTACATATGGAATTATTTGGTTGTCTCTCAGAATTGCTAATAAGAAAAAAAATACTGATTTTCACTCGTATTACTTAAAGCTATAAATATAAAATATTTATATTTAATTTAAAATCAATTATTATTAAATAATTTAAAATCTACAGTAACCCAAAGACTTACTTGAAGCAAGTTTTATTTGTTTGTTTGTTTGTTTGTTTGTTTTGCAGTACTGGGATTTGAACCTTGAGCAACTCCACCAGCCCTTTTACGTGAAGAGTTTTTTTGAGATAGGGTCTTGGAAACTACTTGCCAGGGCTGTCTCTGAACCATGATCCTCCTCATCTCTGCCTCCCGAGTAGCTAGGATTACAAGCATGAGCCACAGGTGCCCGGCTTGAAGCAAGTTTCTTCAAGCTTCTATATTTTTTTTCTATACCAAAATAATCACCTAGTACTTACACAAAAGAAATTACTTTGTGCCACTTTGAAATTTTTAACATCTGTTTATTAACATATATTTTTAAATATCTGTTATTTCATTCTGTATAGAGCTGACCCAACCAGTAATAAAATGGCTAGATGAATGGATGAACTGATTAGCAGAAACTTATATTCTCATTTTATTCTTGACCTCATTACAAATTCATAAATTTAAATGAAGAAAAATACAGACCCTGATCCAGAAAGAAACAAAACCTTTAATCTCCCTTTGCATAAATGAATTGATTGTTTTTAATTTCAAAAGAACTTCACATGAAATCTTCATAAAACTCCTGTGCTCACTGCTATAAAAGGTAGTATTTCTAGATGCTCTGAGGAATTCAAAGGTGAATAAAAGGTCTCTGACCTGAAAGAACCTGTCATCCAGAGGATATTTTAATTATACTCATAAACAACTAATGATGAAAGGTAGAATGTAGAAAAAGGTATAAAAAGGAAGAGCCATTCAGAAAAGTAAGGGAGAGATATTTTTGGCATTAAAGGTTGAAGGAGGAACTAAAGGTTTTATGGAAAAGAACTTGGTCCTGAAAGATAGAAAGAAAGAGATGGAGATGGTAAGAATGTTTTAAGATACATTAAGTTCTTCAGTCTGGCCACAGTACAAGTAATTCATGTAAAAGAAAAGGCTTAAAAGCTATATTATAGCTAGGTTAGAAGAGTAGGAGAAAATGTGATACTTAATAGGAGCTACAGGAGATATTTAACTAGAGGATTGACATAGTCAAAATTATGCATACGGAAGATGAATTAAGCTGTGAACTATAGGCAAGTTGAGAAAATGACAAGACCAATTAGGATGTCACTGCAATAGCCCAAGTGAATGGTTAAAAAAGTGTGAAATATAGTTTCAATAAAAATGGAAAATAAAATAAAATTTCAGAGAAAGAATGTATAGAACTTGGTGACTAGTTGAAAGTAGTCACACTCAGAGGGAAGCCAAATTATCATTGATACTCTGAATCTTGATAACCAGAATAATGGAGATACCATCAGCGACATCAGAAGGAGAACAAGTTTGATTTCAGATATGCTGAGTTTTTAATGTCAAGAGATATCATAGATATGAATAGATTTCAATTACACAATTAGAAATAAGGTCCTAGAGCTCTGAAGAAGACAGTACAAGAAGATAGGAATGTAGTCCTTCATGTATATTATATAGGAAAGGACTGAAGTGAATGAGTACCAAATGAATGATTCTGTTTAAGAAGAATATTAAACATATTTAAATTTTAGATGGTAGACATTCAATGAATGTCTACAATTGGTACATTCATTTTGGTCTCATAGCATTAAATATTACCTATAAAAATTTCAAAATCTGTATCTCTATCCCACTGAAATCCACATGAGTATGTACAATTTCCTATTTTATTTTTACTTAGATATCTAATAAATCAATGTTTTAATTATACTGCTTTCAAAACTAAATCCCCAGTTCCTCCTCTAATCTCAAAATAAGTTCTCTGAAAACCATCCATATTTCAGGAAATGGATGCACCATTCTTAAAGTCATTGATGTCAAAACCTTGGCATCATTCTTGTTTTTTTCTCTTAATCTTTACACCCAGTCCATAGGCAAGTTCTTATAGCTCTACTTTCAAAAAATTTTATAACTCAAATCAGATGTCTCCTCACCACTCCTGCCACTGTCTCAGCCATCAATTCTCACTTGTATTATATTATACAAACTTCCTAATATAAAATAACTTCCTAATCTATTTCCCCATTTTTACTTTATCTCCATACAGTCTACTCTCCATATACCAGAGCGATTCTTCAAAAACCCATTAGATCATTTCAGTTCTTTGCTCAAAAATCCTTCAATGGCTTCCCATCTCACTCAGAAAACAATCTAAAGACTTTAATGGTCTCTATTTGTTCCCTCTCCAAACTCTCTGATTTAATCTTCCTGCACTATTTCTCTTTCCTTATTCCACTTCAGTTATACCAATTTACATGCTGTTCAATGAACATACTGAGCATGTTCCATCTCAAGACCTTTCAGCCTTTGCCTGGAATGCTTTTTCCAGTAGGCTGTACCGGCATCTTCTTCACATCGTTATTCAAATACTGCCTTTTAGTGATCCCTTCCCTAACTCCCTTATAATAACAGTACAACCACCTTACCATCTAAATACTTTCATCCTTCTTACTCTGCTTTACTTTCCTTCCTAGTGTTTATCACTAATAGTAAGTAAAGAATTAACCTCAAGCCTGGGCTAATTCAGGCCACTTGGAAGAATGACTCAGAGTCTGATCTCTTACAACACCATTTTCTTAGAAAACACGGAATTAAGGTCAATGTAGAATGTTGTGTCTGATTACTCTTCTGTGTAAGACTGCACCTGAATTAGAGGAACTGCGAGTTAACATGTAAGTCTTGAGTCTCATGTATAGAATAGAATATAAATGACTAGTGAGAAACTGAGGCTGCAGCTTTTGTGTGTAAACGTGATGAGAATGCACCATTCCTCGTATCCATAGCAGCATGGACTGTTCTACATGGAGGAGGAAAGGTTATTATTTGGGTAGTTGCTGGGCCTCTCAATGAGACAAAAATGCAACTGCTTTATCTCCTATCCCGTATCCATTTATAAAGTAAATGTAACATTAGATTAAACTTTGTAACATGTGAATCTGATGGCTAATTCAAATCATAGAAACTTGTTTAGTGCACTAAGATATTTTACATTGATTTACCTGTCTATCTTGAGTCTTTCATACTAGAACATGAACTCTGAGAATTTTGCATTCTTGTCTATTGTTCTATCATCAAAGCCAAAAACAGTACCTTAAACAAAGGATAATAAACACACATATGCATATTTATATTAATATGTTGACTGAATTAACCAATCAAAATATAAAAGAAGAAAGACGATCCAATAAAAAGTAAGCACTAGAGAGATAGGAGGAAATCAAGACTTCTAGAAAGAAGATGGGAGCAGTCAATCACATAAAATGTTGCAAAGGAGCTGAATATAAGATACCTATACAAATACAAGATACCCATAATGTTGGATAACTGAGAATTGGTAATATTGGAGAAAGCAAGTGTCAGCAGAGTAGAGAAGAAGCTAAATTGCTAGAGGAAAAAAAGAGACAAAGGAAGGAAAGAAGGAAAAAGATCAGAGAGGAGTACAAACTAACAATGATTTTTTTTTTTACAGAATAAAGTGCCAAAGAAAATCAATTAGAGACAAACTAAATACTTATAGGAAAATTTAACATGTTTTCATACATGGAAAACTTCAAATCACTTACCAACTTCTTGTGATGATGGAGGATTTAGATTTACTGCAGAATAATGTTCACTAAACTGGAAAATAATTCCAATTAACAATTATTTATGAAATCAGTAGAACAGTATATGTACCATTTATATTTGACTAAAACTTGCTACTTCTAATACACAAAATTAGACATGACTTTCTGTACAGAATACTTAAAAAGAATTTTCTTTGGGCTGGGGATGTAGCCGTGTGGTACAGCCCTTGTCTAGCATGCATGAGACCCAGGGTTCAATCCCCAGAACTGAGTTGTATCTCCAAAACCTGTCATTTATTTATATTAAAATAAGGCCTCAAGCCAGGAATGGTGGCACATGCCTACAATCCCAGCAGAGGCAGGGATTGTAGGCCTCAAAAAGCCAAGGGCTGGGGATGTAGCTCAGTGGTAGAGCACTTGCCTAGCATCACCAAGGCCTTGGGCTCAATTACCAGCATTGAAAAAATAATAAGGCCTATTGACTGAATTATAGCAGTAGATAAAACATTAATAGGCAACATATATTGTACTAATGATAGTTCCTACATCAGAATCTTACTGTGACTTAAAATTCAAATCAACTTTTGCTTTATTCTGAAAGCCTTTATCAGGTTCATAGTCTTGTTTTTTTGCTCATAAAAGTAATAGAATGTTCACAGCTTTCTGTCTGTTTAGATCAAGTTTTGGTGCCAAAAAAAAGTCTATTTTCTCAGTAAGACAGGTTTTTAAAAAGTGGATGACATGCTCCCAGCTACTTGGGAGGCAGAGATTGGGAGGATTATAGTTTGAGGCCAGTCTCAGCAAAAACTACAAGACACTATATCGACAAGCAAGCCAGGCATGGTGGCAAATGCCTGTAATCCCAGCTACATGGGAGGCACAGGTAAGAGGATTATGGTCCAAGGTTATCCTGGGCAAAAAAGTGTAAGACCCTATTTGGAAAACAAACTAAAGCAAAAAGGGCCTGAGGCATGGCTCAAGAGGTACAGAGTTTGCCTAGCAAGTGCAAAGCCCTGAGTTTAATCCCCGCTATAGCCAAAACAAACAAACAAAATTAAAAAAAAAAAATGAGAGCTTCACATTGTACTCCATTTTCCATGCTGCTACTCTTCTAAAACCTGACTCATCTCATGGCAGAATAATATTGCTCCATATGGACATAACATCAGTTTCATCCATTCTTTGATTTTGGACATTTTGGTTGTTTTGACTTTTTTCCTAATATGAAAATCACACTTGAATAAATACTGTTATATACAGAATCACATTTCTTCAGCAATATAAGAAAAGCTGTTTTCAAACAGATTGTATAAGTCACTTGAATCTCTTTGTCAGTGAATTCTCTATTGATTAAATGAATTTTGCCTATTTCTGTACTGAGGGAGCAATTATTTTCTTATTTGACTATATAAAGCTATTATATAAAGATGTTAATTCTTTGTGATATTTTTAAAACATTTATAATAATCTATCATTCTGCCTTTAATGTCTTAAAATATGTATTAGTTCAGCTTTTATATGTAACCAAACTTTATGTTTTTCTTTTGGCTCTTTGTCCACTGTTATATGCTACAGAATCCCTCTCTTTAGGGTCTGCTAAATATTCACCTATGATGCCTCTGAAATATTTTTGGCTGATATATTTTATTGAATTTAATGCATTTGTAGATTTTATTGGTATACAGTGTAAGATGAGTGTCTAACTTGTACTACATTCTTTGTCACATTCTAAATTCTTTTATTTCAAGACTTTTTAGCCCATATTATTGATTATTCTATCAGTTCTTATACCTTTACCACACCATTTTGATTACTGCAAACTTACAGGATGTTTTAATGTGTGGAAAGTAAAGTTCCTCTCACCAACCCATTTCATAATACTTAGCATTTATGATATCCTTTCTTTCATTTCTAATAGAGGTAAACTATCTTATTTTTTGTCAATCTAACTAGGAGTTAATCCCTTTTATCAATTATTTTCAAACCAATTTTTGCTTTGCTAATATTCTCTGTTGTTTTTCCATTTCAATGATTTTTCTTCTTATATTTTTCTTCATTCTACTTAGTTTAGATTTGTTCTTTTATCAGCTTTTCAAGATGGAGTAAGAGCCATCTTAATTTTAGACCTTTCTTCTTTTCTATTAATTTAATTATTTACATTATTAACTAAATTATCTAATGTTATCATCGTGCTTTGACTTTGGCAGCATCTTGCAATTTTTGATAACTGAATTTTCATAATAATTCAGTTCAAAATCTTTTCTGATTTCTCTCATGATTCTTTCTGTGATCCATAGCCTATATATTTAAGATTTTCCTAAATGTCTTTCTGGGTTCTAATTTAAATGAATTGTGGTCAGAGAACATACTCTGATTCTAATCCCTTTAAATTCATTAAGATTCATTTTATGGCACCATAAACCATATACCACATGGTTTATACCATATACCATTAGTGCTTGAATGTATATACTACAGTTGTAGGATGATGTGTTCTATAAAGGTCACTTAGATCAAGAAATTACTTGTTTCTGAAATAAGCATTTTAAATAAAAATTGAGACAAAGTTGAAGACATGAAATACTATGAAGTGTACTATACTATAAATATCTCTCAATAAATTTATAATTTCAATAATTTATTTCGTGAGACACAGTAATAAAAACTTCTAATTCACATAAAATGCCTAATTGTGATTAATTTAAATGAGCAATAATAAGGTAATACTTTTATTACATTGCTACTTAAATATCATAATAAATGGTTGGTACTTTTCAAAGTGCTCATTTAATATTCACCAATGCTATAGTACTAATTTTTATTATTTCTATTTTACAGATAAGGGACTTGAGAGTTAACTTACCCCAAATTCCACAAACAGTACATATCCAAGTAATCTGGCTTCAGAGTCTAGTTTTAACCACTACACTACATTGCTCTATTCTTACTAAAGTATGACTTAATTTTTGGGTTTAATTGCTAAATACAGAAATAAGTACTTTATTGTGATTTGTTTCAGAGAACAGTAAAATATTAGAAGGAAATTCTTTAGATCTTTTAAGATTAACCAATGACAGTGTTGGCATGTACACACATGGAGTTGAAAAGACCAACTTATAATAAGTAGCTTATCTAACTAAGAGTTAAACACATTTTTTATAAATTCTAAAGCCAAATTAATTTTAAACTGTCTTTAACTACAATTTAAATCATCCTAATCTTGGAAGTTTTTGTCTTGTTTTGTTTTTGTGATGTTGGTTAAATCAAATCTAGGACCTCATGAATGTTAGTCAAGCCCTCTACCACTGAGCTATATCCCCAGCCCAATACTCAGAATTTAAAAAAAATTTCCTCGTTGGTACTCTGTCTCAAGAAAGCTCAATGTTAAATAATTAAAATTATCCAAAGCTCCAGTGTACAATCTTTAAAAATAAAACTTCAGCTTCTCATTTTACCTGATCTGATGAAGTTGCCGAATCAAATACAGAGGACTCAAATAAATTCAATCCAGGTGACCTAGAATCAAAACTTGTAAGAAATGAAAATCCAGGAGATTCCTTTTGTGTTTGGCCTTCAGGTGTTGCATTTCTATTTCTGCAACAGAGAGATATTAAAAAAATCATCAAAATATTATAAATTTATTATTAAACAATAGAAAGTGATAAGTACTATAAGCAGTATCACAGAAGTTAAGAATTAGCAGAGTAGGGAAAGATAGGAAATAGTTATTGAAATGACAAACCTATGGAAGAAAGCTGGCTTGGGTGGAGAATAATGTAAAACAATCAATTGAGGGATAACTGTGAACACTTACTGAGAATATACTGACAGGCACTATTCTATGTACTCCCATAAGCATACTTAGTCTTTACAATAACCTGATGAAATAGGTACTATTACTGTCACTTTCATTTTACAGTGAATAATTTTGCAGCATAGAGAGGTTAATTTATTTGCTGAAAATAATAATAAGTTTAAGAGATGAAATTTGAATGCAGCAATCCAGATTCAAAGTCTAATCTCTTACCCTTGACATTGTCTTCATGATCTCAAAAGTCAGTTACAAAATTTGTCTTAATCTTACTGAGATGCCAGTCACTAAAAAGTGGTATATAAAGGAGTTTAACTATAAAATGATCTGGGAAAAATAACTAGACAAGACAGTATATTACACAGTGCTTAGAAACATGGATTCTAGAGTCACACCTGTATGGTTTAAAATCTCAACTCTAATACTGACTAGTTATATCACCTATGATTCTGTTTCTTCATCTATAAAGATAATAAAGTACCTACAATTCACAAAGCTGTTATAAATACAAAACAAGCAATATTTACAAAGTGCCTAGAACAGTGGCATGCACATAATGCTATATAGTGTTTTTAAAACATAATAGGGCTGGGGTTGTAACTCAGGAATACAGCATATGCTTAAGCATGTGTGAGGCCATGGGTTCAATTCCCAGCACCAAGTATGTATAATACTACTGGAAGTACTACTATGTAACTCTATGACCATAAACGAGTCACTTAACTTCACAGATTATAATTCTCTCATTTATGGAGAAATGTTTTAGCATCTGATTTAACATTCTCTCATAGTTTTCAGGTTTGATGATGAGTTCCACTTTGAATATGCTGTGCTTGAGTCAAGAGAATATTTATATACACATAACTTTTACCAGCAGTTTAAAATACAGAAATAGAACACAGGTGAGAGATTCCTGATCAAGTGGAATCTATTTGATGTGTATTAGAGGTATCTAAGAGTTCAGTGTTAAAGACAAGATTGAACTAAATAAAAAAGTCAAATGCAGCACTATTCTTTTGGCTACAAACCACAAATCTGTGCTTTACAAAGTTAAATGTTCATCTTAGAGATATTTATGCCTCCATAAGGCTGTGTAATAGAATGGCAATTCTTGCTTCGGACACCACAACATATGGAAAATGACTGCTGTCACATTTAATGAATGAATAAGTCCATAGTGTATCATATGTGACAGTAGTTCTTTAGCTTTACATTTTAATTTTTTCTACAAATTTCTTATCCTTTGCAAAATCTTAAATCTATGTAATATTGCAATGGATAAGTACTCAGGATTTACATCATCTTCAACTATGTGCTACTGGAAAAATGGGAGAGGAGTGTCTGTGAGAAAAAGAATAGCAGAACATTAATAATTGTTCAAACAGCAGGATAAGTATGTAGTTCATTATACTATTCACTCTCTCTCCTTTGCATGTCTGAAATAGTTCACAATAAACCCTTTTAGAAAATATAGCTAGTAGGCATTTTCCTATTCCTATCAATTATTTACATAACTCAATGTATGGATAATTTAATTGTAAGTATTATTTAAAATCCTACATTTCAAATAAGGGGCTTTTAGAAAACTGTATTTTCTCCAAACATTCAGGTGTCTTCACAGCTTCAGGAATTCTTAAAAACATAGGAGTTTCAGGAGTTTGTGGAAAAATCTCAGCCCTTTCTTCTACTTTGTCACTAGTATTGTCTATTGACTTTCCGAAGTGTTCTGTGTACATAGCCTGTAAATTCAAAGTAATAGAAAACTGTAACAATGGCTGTTACTGTGTTAATAAAATGACATATATAAAAATGCAGAAGGTAAAAAAATTAATATCATCTCATTTCACAAATAAAAAGAGAATAATTGGTAATGTGATGCTAGATATATATATATATTCAAAAAAATAGAAAACCAGTTATTTTTAATTATCTAATTTTTGCTTTACTTCCTAGCTCCATCTTCCTTACCCTTACCTGAAAAAGTCAAGGATAATCAGAACATACTGAAATTCTTTTAAAATTACAACCTTGTACTCTGGGTAAAGAATTGTATATGAATTTGAAAGGGAGAAGTATTTACTTTTAAGCAATCTTGCTATCACTGGTTTATGATACAGTTAGAATCTTGAATGTCCCCCAAAGGCTCATGTGTTAAATGCTTTATCTCCAGCGTGGCACAATTGGGAACTAGCAGCAACTTTAGGAAATGGGACCTACTACAGTCATTGTCAGGTCATTGGGCAGCATGCTCTGGAAGGGGACTGTGGGACCTTGGTCTCTTTTTTTTTTACCTCCTGGCTATAAGGTGAGTAATTTTGCTTCACCATGCACTTCTACCATGATGTGCTGCCACAGGCACAAAACAATGGGCTGAAACCTCTAAAACTGTGAACCAAGATAAACCTTTTCCCTTCATAAAGAGATTATATCAGGTAATTGTTATTTCAGATAACTGTTAACAGAAAGATGCCAACACAATACCAATTTTTTATAACATTTTGTAGATGAGAGATGTATTTCTCAGATATGCTTAGTATACCAAAGCCTATTATAAAAACAATTTGGGTCTCTGTCAAAATATATTAAAATGTGCTTATTACCTGTATTTCCTTACAGCAGAATATGACTATGCTGTTTGTCTTGTTTTAACCCTTAGTTGCTAGGGTAAACTTTGATATACCTTGTCTGTATCTATCATCATCAAAGCTTTCCACTATTCAAAAATACTTTTAAGATACTTTTATTGCAACAACTGGTCTTGAACTGCTATGGCAAATAATTCAATATTACTAAATAAATGTTTTTCTTCAATTATTATTTGATATATGTTGTGGAATCAACATATATCATCACTTATTAATGATAACTTTTTGTATTTTTTATGTAAACTTTTTGTGGCTTAGTATTTGAATCTGAAAAATAGAGACTGCAACTCTCTAGAAACCAGATTACCAACCTAATAATAGCTAACATAAATAATCTTCATTGTACTAAATCTGAACTTGTAACATGGACACAAAATATTTTAAAATTGAAATATTTTACTTAGAAATTAGAAATCAAACAATTTACTTACTTCTGAAGTACATTTTGATTCTCTCAACTGTTTAACTGCTCCTTTAGTTCCACACTCAGCATCTATTCATCAAATGAGAACAAACTTATTTTCACTTCTGCAACTTTTAAAAACATTTTTATTAAGCATATATTAGTTATACAGGGGGGTTTCACTGTCACATTTCCATATATGCTTACAATGTACCTTGGTTAGATTCATCCCCTTCATCATTCTCCTTCATCCCCCTCCCCCCACTTAAAACAATTTCAACAGGTTTTAATGTTCTATTTTCATACAAGTATATAAAGTACATTGACCATATTCCCCGCCCCCCCTAGTAACAACCCCCTAACAGGACCTGTTTTTACATTCCTGTTCTTCAGTTTTTTAAGTGTATATTCATTGTTCAAAGGGGGGTTGTGGCATGGTATTTCACTCATGAATATATTGTACTTTAACCAGATTAACTCCCTTTATTTCTTTCCCCTACCCTTCCCCTTTACCCCCTATTAATCAACAGCTTTCATTGTGTTCTTCCCTCACAGATGAAATGTATTTCAGTATTATTCACTTTCTATCATTCTCTTTTCCTCTCCTTTATCTCCTCAAACAGTCCCACTATTAAAGACATGTGCATATATGTACATACACATATATATGATCATGTTTGTATTTGTGTGTACATATATGTGCCAAATGCCAGTGCACCAAGTTACATTAAAAAACACTACTAAATTTAAAAACAGATAGACTCTAGCCCAACAGTAATAGAAGACTTCAACACTCCACTCCACCAATAGCGAGGTCACCTAGACAAAAAAAATCAACAAATAAACCACACAATTAATTGACACTATAGACCAAATGCACTTAACAGACATCTACAGAGTATTTCAACCAGCTATGACACAATAAACATTCTCAGCAGCCCATGGAACGTCTTCAAAATAGATCATATTTTAGGACACAAAGCAAGTCTTAGCAAATGTAAGAAAGCTGAAATAACTCCCTATATTCTACAATACAAAGAATAAAACTAGAATTCAACAGCAAAAGAAAGTACAGAAAATATTCAAACACACATGGAGACTGAACAATACATTGCTGAATGACTAGTGGGTCATCAAAGAAGTAAGGGTGAAAATCAAAAAGTTCCTACCAGAACCTTTGGGATACAGCAAAGGCAGTGTTGAGAGGAAAGTTTCTAGCTTTGAGTGCCTATATTTTTTTTAAAATAACAGAGAGGTCACAAATATATAACTTAAATGATGTGTCTTAAGCTTTTAGAAAAATAAGAACTAGCAGATGGGAAGAAATAATAAAAATTAGGATCACAATCAAATTAAGATCACAAACTAAAAAATTACACAAAGAATCAATGAAACGTGAAGTTGATTTTTTTGAAAAGATAAGTAAGATTGATAAACCCTTACCAATCTGACTAGACGGAGGAGGGAAAAGACCAAAATTAATAAAATGAGAGACGAAAAAGAGGATGTCACAACAAATATCAATGAAATCCAGAAGATCATTAGGGAATACTTCAAAGACCTATATTTTAAAAACTGGAAAATCTAGAAGAAATGGATAAATTTCTAGATGCATTTGACCAAAAAGATATAAACCACCTAAATATATCTATAACAAGCACTGAAACTGAAGCAGTAAAAATAGTCTCCCAAGAAAGAAAAGCCCAGAACTCAATGGATTCACTGCTGAACGCTACCAGAACTTTAAAGAACTAATACCAATACTCCTCAAACTTTTCCATGAAATAGAAAGGAAAGGAACACTACCAAACTTATTCTATGAAGCCAGTATTACACACATTCCAAAGCTAGACAAGGACACAACAGAAAAAAGAAAATTATAAACTAAACTCTTTAATGAACATAGACTCAAAAATTCTCAATAAAACACTGGTGCAAACAGAATTCAGCAACATATCAAAAAGATCATACACCATGATCAAGTTGGTTTCATTTCAGGAATGAAATGTTGAGCAAGGATGGCTCAACATTTTTGCAATTTTATTATATAAAATAAAACATGCTAGTTCTACTGCATGAATCACCAATACTTAATTTTAAATGACAAAAATGGCAATTTCAAACATTCCAGCCAATACATATAAATAAGAGAATAAAACATAATACTACTAACAGATTAACAAACAAAATTATATCATATATAAATTAAAATTTAAAAAAAATTATAAAGAGAAAACCCAAGTAACCACCACCCAGATAAAAAAAAAAGTAGAACATTGTGAGCACTCCAAAAGATCCCATAATCTTCATGTCCTAAGAGGTAATCTCTGCCCTGACTTTTATGATAATCACTTCCTAATTTTATATGGTTTCATCACCTAAATAATATATCTTATTTTTCCTGCTTTAAAATGTCAGATGAAATTGTACATATGTGCTCTAATTGTTTTTCTTTTTTGTTTAGCATATGCTTGTGAGATTTATCCATATTGTTACATATAGATATAATTTTCTCATTCTCACTCATGTAAGCATTTCATTATACGAACATTATTTATGCATTTACCGCAAATAGGCATTTGGGATGTTTCTGCTTTGAAGCTATTATAATGTTGTAACATTCTCTTACGTAGGTTCTTGTATGTATGTATCTGTTATTCCTCTAAGTACACATTTAGGAGTAGAATTATGAGGCATAAAGTATATGTACCTCCCAATCCCAGATGTCAAACTACTCCAGTGATTGTACCAGCCTTTGTTGTGATATCTAGTCATACTAGAAATCATTCAATCTCATCAGACAAAACTATTAGCTCCAATTATAAATGTATGGTCTCTTGAAGAAAAATGAAATCTTATCATTTGCAAGTAAATGGATGGAACTGGAGAACATCATTCTGTGCAAGGTTAGCCAGACTCAAAAGACCAAAAATCATATGTTCTCCCTCATACGTGGTCTTTAGATCTAGGGCAAATACAGCAATGTTGTAGAACTTGGGTTACATGAGAAGGGGAGAACACATATGGGAGGCACGAGGTTAGAAAGAAAACCCAGAACATGAAAGCATTTGATGTCCCCACTCCAGAGGAATTAATACAGAAACCTTAAAGCGACAGAGGTCAACACAAGAAGGGGATCAGGAACCAGGGTAAAGATCAGTTAGAGATGAATAAACCTGGGTTGTAACACATTTGTACATGAAAGCAATGCTAGGAATCTCTCTGTATAGCTGTCCTTAACTCAACTAGCAAAAATGGTATGTCTTTCTTATTATTGCTTATTTCTACTCTTCAACGGAACTGAAGAAAAGCGCAGAACAGGTTCTGCCTGGAAGGGAGGGGGAGGGGGAGAGAGGGTGGGGGCGAGGGAGGAGGGAGAAATGACCCAAACAATGTATGCACATGTGAATAAATGAATAATAAAAAAAATTTTTAAAATAAATAAATAAATAGGTATGGTTTCAATGTATAGTTATTCATTAATGACAGTTCTTACCAATAGTTTATGGGAGTTCCTCTGTTCCTACATTCTCATCAGTATTTAATATTGTCAGGCTTTCTGAATTTTGCTCATTTTGTGAATGTGTAACAATATCTCATTGTAGTTTTATTTTGCAGTTTCATGAACTGCTGAGCATCTTTTTGTATGTTTATCTGCCACAGTTTCTTTTCTTTTTTTTTTTTTTGAGGTGACTATTCACGTATTTTCCACATATTTTTAATTGGGTTTTCTACCTTTTTCTTTTTGATTTGTAAAAGTTCTTTACACATTTTGGAAACTACTCCTTTGACAGTTTTATGTGTTACAAATATATCCTTTGGCTAAGTGACTCACCTACTCTTTTTATGTTACCTTTTGGTAAGTAAAAATTCATAATTTTAATAGTCAAATTTATCAATCGTTCTTTCATAATAAGGCTTTTAAATTCTTGTTTAAGAAATCTTTCCCTATCTTGAAGTTATGATGTCTTTCTATTTGATCTGAAAGCTTTACAGTTTTGGCCTCTTGCATTTAAGTCACAACTATTATTTTTCACCACATACTTCTTCTTTCCAAATAATAATTTCCTTCCAAAATAATTATGTCCTCTTGTATATGAAGCCTCATCATATATGCCACACAACAGGGAGAACTATGCCAGGTAATGCATTTCCCAACAATTCTGTCAAGGTGTACTGATCCTAGAGATTAGCTATTGCTCCTTGTCTAATACTATCAACTTGGCATATAGAGAGGATTATAAATAGCTGGAACTCATCACTTTACAAGTAAGATGTAATATTTTTCTCCTAGAAGAAAGCAGGGAGACTATTCATTTGTATAGAATAACCATACTGTGTTGGGTGAATTCTCTATGAGAAGTGAGAGAAATACACAAGTAGAATATGACCATTCTAAATATGCAAATATTTTCAGAATTTTCATATTGTCAGAATGAGGCATTTTTAAAACTTCAAAATAAAAGTCAGTAATCAGACCAGAAGCAATGAAGACTTCTATATACCCTAACTGTTATACATTACTAGGTTATCAAAATATCAAAATATGTATGAATGTGTGAGGTATGTGATATATATATATACACTCATGTATATCTATATACGTATACATAAATGTATATATAATTGTACTTATGTATGCATATATAGATTTATATGGAGAGAGTGAGTCAATACTTTGAAGGGCGTGTCAGAATTCCAACAGCTGGTTGATCTGAGGATAATAAAGATATCATATGATATGTTCTGTGATTTCATCCAAAGAAACTAGTCCAAGATAGTAAAAGATTAATGCAAAAAAGTTATAGTAGCATTATTTATAATAGCAAAAAAAACTGGAAACAAGATATTCAATGTGAAAGAATGGCTTAATAAAGCATGGTACATCTACAGAACAGACCATTACAGTTATTACAAATAAAAACTAATGATATAGAGGAAACAACCCCAACAGTTTATCAAGTAGGAAAAAAGATATAAGATTATATATGTACTATTCTTCATATTTGGGGGGAACAAAATACACATATGCACAGAAAAAAAAGACTAGAAGAATAAACCCCAGTGTGAATGGTGTCAGTTACATCTGCATGGTAGAATTTTTTGTGTCCTTTACATTTTTCTTTGTTTTCCAATTTTTTTACAATGAAATGTATTTGATTTTTTATAGGGAAAATGTACTTTAAAGTCAGGCATGCATGGCCAATTAACCACAGGTGAAAACATCTAAACAACTTATTTGAATAGTATAAAAACAGATATAGTTTGTTACTCTTACTTAGGAAAAATAATAGCAGCAAATACCTGTATGTTCTTTTTCAAACCACCGACTGCAACTGGATTGTCTCTGTGAAGTTAACAATCTAAAATACAATAAATTTATTTTTATATCATTTTGAGTTGACGTTCATGAACCTTTCAGAAGTCAAAGGGTTTCTTGTTTGCTTGTTTTTGTAGTGCTAGGGATCAAACCCAGGGCATACAGCATGCGAGGCAAGTGTTCTGCCACTGAGCCACATCCACAGCCCTCATGCATTTTCTTATTTTAAAAAGTTACCTGAATTGCATAAAATTTTGTGAGCTTTGAGTAGCTGTAACACGTGAACATTTTAAACTGTTATTTACTCCATCATCATTAAACACCTGAAAGAAATTAAGCATTAGAATTATCTACATAAAATAAACACATCCATAATCATCATATTAACAACTGCAAACATTAAATGAGACCATTACATATGAGCCATAGTCAAATACTGGGAAATAAGAGTTCAAGATTCTCAGGCTGGCCAGGTGCCATAGCTCACACCTATAATCCCAGCTACTAGGGAAGTGGAGATCAGGAGAATGGAGGTTTAAGATCAACCGGAGCAAAAAAAAAATTGAGCAAGACCCCATACCAACGAACAAGCCAGGTGTGGTAGCATGTGCCTGTGGTCCCAGCTGCAGGGAAGGCATAGGTAGGAGGATCACGGGTCCAGGCTGGTCCCATGCAAAAAAGCAAGACCCTACATCAGAAAAGTAATTAATAGCAAAAAGGGCTAGGGGTGTAGCTCAAGTGTTAGAGACCTGCCTAACAAGTGTGAGATCCTGAATGGAAACCCAATACCAACCAAAAAAAAAAAAAAAAACTCTCAAGAGAATTTAATGTTTTTGACAAATATGATAACTACTTGTGGGAATATTTCTACATATAATAAACATTTAAAAAAAATTTATCCTATCCTTATCCATGATTAATTAGGTGAATGTTACCACCTTCTCAACTGATTACATGATTTTTTTTTTTTGGCAGTACTAGGGTTTGAACTCAAGGTCAGGCACTCTCCACATAAGCCATGCCCCCAGCCCTTTTAACTTTAGTAATTTTTCAGGTAGGGGTAGGGTCTTGTGTTTTTTGACCTGGACCTCAACCCTCACAAGTGATACCACACCTGGTTTCTTTCATTGAGATGGAGTCTCACTAACTTTTTGCCCAAACTGGCCTCTAACTGTGATCCTCTTCATCTGGCCAATGAAATGATACCATAAATTCTTTAGGACTGGGGGTGTGGCTCAAGTGGTAGAGCACCTGCTTTGCAAGCACAAAGCCCTGAGTTCAAATCCAAGTCCTGCCAAGAAAATATGTACTTAAATTATTTAAGAAGCTGGGCATTGGTGGCTCACACTTGTAATCCTAGCTATTTGGGATGCTGAGATTGAGTAGATAAGGTTTGGGCAAATAGTTCACAAGAGCCCATCTCCAAAATAACCAGAGCAAGAAAATGAACTGGAGGTGTGGCTCAAGCAGTGAACACCTGCTTTGCAAGCATAAAGCCCTGAGTTCAAACCCCAGTCCCACTAAAAAAAAAAAAAAAACAACTGTTTAAGAAGTATATTCTGGATACTAATCCATTACCCATTCTGTCATTGTCTTCTAACTTCACTAGTTTCTTTTATCATACAAAAGTTTTTATTTTGATATAACCCACTGATCAGTTTGTCTTTTCCTGTACCATACATTGATAGTATGTTAAAAAAAAAAGTATGGGATGATGAAAATGATCTGGCATTAGACAGAAGTGATGGTTGTACAATCTTGTCAATATCTAAAAAAAAATCACTGCACTTATACTTTTAAATGGTAAATTTTATAGTATGTGAATTATATCTCAAAGGTACAATTCTACTTTTTAAGTAAAAAATAAAAGTTTTTATATCTGGACCTATCTGGAGAATAGATCCTCCTTATCATCCCTTCTAAAATCTCTTATTTAAATTATTTAAAATATTTTACTTGTCAGTTACTACAGTTAATCATATTGAGAGATTTTCCTAATGCTCAACCATCATTGCATTCTTTGGGAAAACCAACGTCAGTCATTCTACTAATGTCACACAACTAAATTTGCTTTCCTAATTATTTAGGATGTTTACAAGTATGACCATTCTTAAAACTGAGCTGTAATTTTTCTTTCTTTCACTATCCTTATCCTTGCTGTCTGACAGGTTAGCCATGTATAATTTGCTGGATAGTTTCCAATTCTTTCTACAACTTGGAATTGTTTATATAAAGAAATATTTAATCCAGAGGTCTTCAACCAGGGACAACTTTGTCTCTCAGGGGACATCTGACAATATATGAAGTTTTTTTGTTTGTTTGTTTGTTTTTCAGTACTGGAGACTGAAACCAGAGCCTTAAGCATACTAGGCAAGCACTCTACCCTTGAGCCATATCCCCAGCCCTTCTTTTTACAGATAGGGTCTCACTACCTTTTTACCAGGCTGGTCTTGAACTCAAGATCCTCCTGCTGCCTCCTCCAGAGCACCTGGGTTTACAGGCATGTGCCAACACACCCAATTCTTGGAGATCTTTTTGATTGTTATTAATTTGGAGACGAGGCTCTACTGGCCTCCAGCAGGGTACAAGACAAGCCCACAAAAATGAATTATGCAGTAAAAAAAAATCAGTAAAGTCAAGGTTTAGAATTCCTGGCCTAATCCTTAAAGATTCAGTGAACTTCACCTGAAAAACTGAGTCTGTTGCCTTCTGAAGGCTGTGTGTGTTGAGGGTGAACTGGAGTTACGGGAGAAAAGAGGATAATAGATGTTTGTTTTTATTTTAAGTTTTTCCTAGGTTATATTTTTTTTCTCTTGCCTATTTTTCAAACTATTTAGAAATTTAAATTGTCTATCTATCTTACTCAAATCTTCAAATTATTGGTATGAAAAATCTTATATAGCATTCTCTCAGGATATAAAATATTTTTTCTTCCATATGTGTAGTGATATACACTTATCCCCCCCCACCTTTTATCCTTTCTCTTTGGGAGGAGGGGTTCTTATTTTCTTTATACTTGCTAAAATTTTATTTTATTGATATTAAATTTTTTTAGTTTTTGATTCTATTGCCCAGTCTAACTTTTGATTTCATTAATCTCTGCTTTTCTCTTCATTAATCTCTACCTTTCTGCATTCATTTTGTTCTTTTCACAACTTCTGAGTAGAAAGTTCAGCTAACTTGTCTTTATTATTTCTTATTTTTCTAATATGCTTATTTTCAAATATCTATTTTGCCGTGAGGACCAATGTGGCTACACACTACATGTTTGGGTTTGTAGTATTCTATTAAATCATTTGTAAATTCTATTTCCTCATTTTTAAATTTTTGGTGGTATTGGGGTTTCAACTCAGGGCTTCATGCTCATGAGGCAAGAACTCTACCACTTGAGTCATGCCTCCAATCTTGTAAATTCTATTTTGATTTTTTTCTATAATCCCAAAAGTAATTTGAAAATTTGCAGGTTTCTTTTTCCTCAGCAAACTAACTCATGGGAGAAGGATTGTTGTTTGACTTCTGTTTTTTATATATGGTAAAGTAGCAACTCTTTAGAACTGGTTAAAATAAGCAAGAGGCAGATGGGAGGATCAGGGTTCAAGGCTAGCGTAGACAAAAAAGTAAGCAAGACACTACCTATAAAATCAAGCTGGGTGTGGTGGTGCAAGGTTATAATCCAGCTACATGGGAGGCAGAGATAGGAGGATTTATGTCCAAGGCCGCCCTGGGCAAAAGCATGAGACTCTATCCAAAAAAATAAACCAAACAAAAAGGGCTGGAGGTGTAGCTCAAGTGGGAGAGCACCTGCCTAGCAAGTGGGAGGCCCTGAGTTCAAATCCCAATACTGCCAAAAAACCCCAATTGGTTGAGATAGCCTCTTTTTTTTTCTTTTCTTTTATTATTCATATATGCATACAAGGCTTGGGTCATTTCACCCCCCTGCCCCCACCCCCTCCCTTACCACCCACTCCGCCCCCTCCCTCTCCCCCCCACCCCCTCAATACCCAGCAGAAACTATTTTGCCCTTATTTCTAATTTTGTTGTAGAGAGAGTATAAGCAATAATAGGAAGGAACAAGGGTTTTTGCTGGTTGAGATAAGGATAGCTATACAGGGCATTAACTCACATTGATTTCCTGTGCGTGGGTGTTACTTTCTAGGTTAATTCTTTTTGATCTAACCTTTTCTCTAGTACCTGTTCCCCTTTTCCTGTTGGCCTCAGTTGCTTTAAGGTATCTGCTTTAGTTTCTCTGCGTTAAGGGCAACAAATGCTAGCTAATTATTTAGGTGTCTTACCTATCCTCACCCCTCCCTTGTGCGCTCTTGCTTTTATCATGTGCTCATAGTCCAATCCCATTGTTGTGTTTGCCCTTGAGCTAATGTCCACATATGAGGGAGAACATACGATTTTTGGTCTTTTGGGCTAGGCTAACCTCACTCAGAATGATGTTCTCCAATTCCATCCATTTACCAGTGAATGATAACATTTCGTTCTTCTTCATGGCTGCATAAAATTCCATTGTGTATAGATACCACATTTTCCTAATCCATTCGTCAGTGCTGGGGCGTCTTGGCTGTTTCCATAACTTGGCTATTGTAAATAGTGCCGCAATAAATATGGGTGTGCAGGTGCCTTTGGAGTAACCTCTGTCATAGTCTTTTGGGTATATCCCCAAGAGTGGTATTGCTGGATCAAATGGTAGATCGATGTCTAGCTTTTTAAGTAGCCTCCAAATTGTTTTCCAGAGTGGTTGTACTAGTTTACATTCCCACCAACAGTGTAAGAGGGTTCCTTTTTCCCCGCATCCTCGCCAACACCTGTTGTTGGTGGTGTTGCTGATGATGGCTATTCTAACAGGGGTGAGGTGGAATCTTAGTGTGGTTTTAATTTGCATTTCCTTTATTGCTAGAGATGGTGAGCATTTTTTCATGTGTTTTTTGGCCATTTGAATTTCTTCTTTTGAGAAAGTTCTGTTTAGTTCACTTGCCCATTTCTTTATTGGTTCATTAGTTTTGGGAGAATTTAGTTTTTTAAGTTCCCTATACATTCTGGTTATCAGTCCTTTGTCTGATGTATAGTTGGCAAATATTTTCTCCCACTCTGTGGGTGTTCTCTTCAGTTTAGAGTCCATTTCTTTTGATGAACAGAAGCTTTTTAGCTTTATGAGGTCCCATTTATCTATGCTATGAGATAGCCTTTTGATTCTAATAAATGGCCGATTTTTGTGACTATTACCAACAAAAATTTAATTGAATACTGGGTGGGGTACAAAGTTTTATAATTGTATTATTCAGGTCCCCTAGATCCTTATTTTTCCATGTACTTGATTTACCTCTGTGGCAAAAACTACCAGTTGCTTATCCTATCCAAAATGTACTTTTTCCTATTCTGGAAGGAAGGAAGGAAGGGATTGGAAGGGAAGGGAAGGGAAGGGAAGGGAAGGGAAGGGAAGGGAAGGGAAGGGAAGTGAAGGGGGAAGGGGGAAGGTAGAAGGAGGAAGGAGGAAGAGGGAAGGGGAAAGCGGAAAGGGGAAAGGGGAAAGGAAAGGAAAATGGAAAGGGAAGGGGAAAGGAAAAGGGAAGGGGAAAGGAAAGGAAAAGGGAAAGGAAAGGAGGGAGGAAGGAAGAAAATAACAAACAAAACCCAGTATTTCTCAACTTCTGTAGATAAAGATAAATGTGACTAAATTCTAAATAAAGAGATTATATCATAAATGGCTTAAAGAGCTTCTAGGAAATAAGTTAAAAAGTGGCGCGAGCCTTTGCTTTTTCTTTCCTGTCTAGAGAGCAGATGTAACTGCAAACTTACAATGGACAGTTTATGGCTGGAAGTTATGCAGGGTCTCGACTGTGGCACTCTTCAAAAGGCAGACTAGTGTGTGTTCTCCAGTGGTTTGAGCAGCCCAGCTTCACGGCAACATCATTAGAAACCCTGCTCTCTCCGACTGTCTTGCCAGATAGGTTTTGATAGCTAAAACCCACCAGCAAGCCTTTTCAAGCTATTGACCAGGCACAAACAATTGGCCATTCATAACCGTATTTGAATTCTTCTGCATAATTATTTTCTTCAGGGACAATCTGTCCAACCTAAGAAACTACCTAAGAAAGAGAACTGTCTGGACAGGGAATTTCTCCAGCTAAAGAGACCCAAGTAACTGCCTCACTGCCTTAACTGTTCTTTCTGGAGCTAAAAAGAGCTATTTTTTAAAGTACTGGGGCAAACAAAGAAACCCCAAAAGAACTGATGTATGTTTAAAAAAAAAATGAGGAACAAATGGCGATTTTTATGTAGAAATTAAATAATCCTTAATAAATAAATCTCTATTTTGGAATCAAAAATAAAAATAAAATAAAATTTTAAAAAGGCTATCATCTGACCATGAGGTGACCTGGAGGTGGGAGCTCAGCATGAAGAATAGCAAGGATTTTAATGCCAAAGTTTTAGATTTTTATAATATATATTTAGACTTGTTTCATTAATTACCATTACCCTCTATCTATATGTATTAATCATGAATTATTGAAAGAATAATTATATTTTTCATTGAAGATTTCCCTCTGGACTATTTCCAGAGAAGGCAGGAAAAATAAACATGTAGAAAACCAGCAATTAGCTTTCTGGGTGGTTTATTCCTTATTGTTCACAGGTACAAGAACTACCCAGGGTACCAGTCTGTCTCATCTAAGCTCTCCCAGAGAAAGTCATTCCTTTACTGATGTGTGAGTAAAGGTAGCATGGAAATGGGAGTCACAGGGCTTAACTAACCTAACACCTATTGAGGTAACCCAACCAATTACCCTACTCATTGTCCGTCAACCTCTATTATCTTGTAGAACAGGCTACAATTTTCCTCTTCAAGCCAATCCTCTTTTCCTCTTTCAGAGATTTCTCAAAGTTTTTGCTTTACTAAGTACAGGGCTTGGTATTTTAAAATATCTTTTCTATTATTTTTTTAGGGGTAATGGGGCAGGTTACAGTATATACTCAAAATGTCATATCAAAATTCTTAATTTTTTAGACCCTAAGGTTATACTAATGACTGATTTCATACACACACACACACACACACACACACACACCTCTGTGTCCTAAGTGCAGTACATTCATTATCTCGTTTAATGCGAGCAAATATCTATATTACTAAAAATGAAATACCTACCTGTGTATCATTTTCTTTTGCTCTGAAGTCAGTATTGGCAAGCTTTGATTGCTTAACAGAGCTTTCTTCTTTTTTATCTGGATTATTAAACAGTATTACCTCAAATTAATTCTGAAAACATAATCAAACATGATCTCCAGCTTTTCTTCCTTCCTTCCTTCTTTTGGTCATAAAGATTGAACCTAGAGCCTCACCCAAGCTAAGCTTACATTCTACCACTGAGCTCATCTCACAACATTTAAACTAAACTTGAACTTTAGAAAATCAACTCTACATGAATGCTTAATTTAAATTAAGATGCAGAATTATGAAATTATTTAAACCTCTCAACCCATCACTATATACTGTTGTTACAATAACCATCAATGTGAAATGACAAAGTGACAAAACTACACCTTTACAATGGATAACCAAAGGCAACAGAGTGGTGATATTAATGATATGGGGGGAAATAGACAATGTAGTCATCTAATACAACATAATTAATCTAATCAGCACACCCACTGAATGAAATCTGATTCAAACAACACAGTAACCAAGTTACGAATAGTATTAACACAAGTCTGCTACCCACTTAAACTACAATACTGATAATACAATTTCTCAATTAAAAATTATATAACTCAGAGTTACTGGTTTCTGGGCTCCACCGCACTTCTCTATCTGTAGACTTTCCTTTCTCTCTAATAAATCCCACTTTATATATATATATATTATATATATATAATATATTATATATATATAATATATATATAATATATATAAAGTTATATATTATGTATATTATATATATAAATTATATATATAATATATATAATTACATAATTATTCATTGTCCTCTGACAGCTCAACACCAGACTAGAAAACAGGTTTTTAATACATCATGTAAATGATTTCTCTCCCAAAAAGAAAAAAAAAGGTGTAGAAGTCATATGTTGTTTGCTCTCAGAAAGCAGTACTTTCCTAAGTCTATAGGTTCCCACAATTGTCTTCCTTGCTTACACAAAACGATAACTAAAATTCCTTTTTATTTCTCCTTCTGTGTGTTTACAAAGAAAAAATGAAATTTCTTAATAATAAGCAGTTCTGTACCTGTAACTCTTGGTTCTGAAGAATGCATTTTTATTGGTCTCAGTAATTTCTGAGATTCATAGTGAAGAAATAATTGACTGCTTTGAGGTGGTTTGTTCAGTACATGTGCATCTTTTTCAAAAATTCTAAAGAGAACAGTGAATCATACTCAGTATTAATTAAATAAAGATCGCATTTCAAAGCTAGAAGGGATATTTAGATACTATACACTTAAAACCCCTCATTTTTGCAGATAATCATACTGAGTACCAAAGAATTTAAGACTTGTCTAATATTATTAAATTACTTGGTAGTAATGTCCAAGTTAAGACATATTTTTCCTGATTAAGTCCAGTGCTCTTCTCAGTATACCATATTCTTATTTTTTAAAACAACTACTTTTAAAGATGCTTGAAACATATCAAAAGTGTTTTAAACAAAAACTTTAGCCACAAACATGTTTTAGATTTCAAAGTTCTTTAAACATTAAAAAAAACTTAGAAATCAGCTAGCAAGAATACAGAAATATTACAATAATAAATATTACAGTAATAAACAGATCTTTAAAATTTTCTAATAGAAGAACAATTTCATGGGTTTTTCTTAAATCAAGAATTAAAATAGAATAGATACTATCAGTCCCCCTTTTAGTGCCCCCCATTCCAAGACCCCCAGTGGATGTTTAAAGCCATGGGTGGTACCAATTCCTAAATATTTTTCCTATACATAACATACAAATTTAATGTCTTGTTCATCCTAACTAAGCACTTATTACAAACTGTGAGGTGTAACAGCAAAACAAGCATGAATTTCTTTTTCCTTCTTTACAATTTCACAGATGTAAGATTCATTTTTCAACCTAAGCATATGATAGTTTTCTTTCCTTAAGTTGAGAGCTTTCACTTTTCACTAAAATAAAGCACTTTATAGCTTCTCTTTGATGTATCCAAATTGCCAGCCTCGCAATTCTTGTATTTTGGCCCATTTTTATTGCTTAAAAAATTACTTGGATAGAGCACTATGATATCATAATAGTCAATCTGATAACTGAGATGGCTACTAACTGACAGGTAGTGTATACAGCATGGATACACTGGACAAAGTGATGATTCACATCCCAGGTAGGAAACAGTATGAGATTACATTATACTACTCATGTAAAATTTAATAGTTTACTTCTGAAATTTGCCATTTAATATTTTTGGACAATAGTTGACTACAGGTAACTGAAACTACAGAAAACAAAAGCATGGATAAGGGAGGACTAGTGTGTATGTTGAGTAAAGAAAGACTAAATATTTCTATCAGTTCCTTTCAATATGCAAATTTTTATAATGTTAAAAAGTAAAATTCTGTATATTTGCTTATTTCTTCAATAAATTTCATCAGAAAATTAAAGATGTGCATCCATGATGTGATGTGTGAAACAACTACAGGAAACAATAAGAAATAAACTATAACATATAGGCATAGACAACGACTTCCTAACTAGAACGTCAATGGCTCACCAATTAAGAGAAAGAATGAACAAATGGGATTGCATCAAGCTAAAAAACTTTTGCACAGCAAAAGAAACAGTCAATAGACTCAAGAGACTGTCCACAGAATGTGAGAAAATCTTTGCCAGTTATTCATCTGATAAGAAACTAATATCCACAATCTAGAGAGCTCAAAAAACTCAATCCCCAAAGAATCAACAACCCAGTGAAAAAATTGGCACATGAATTGAATAGGGAATTTTCAAAGGAGGAGATACAAATGGCCAACAAATACATGAAGAAGTATTCAATTTCCCTGGCTATTAAAGAAACACAAATCAAAACTACACTAAGATTTCATCTCACCCCAGTTAGAATGGCTACCTTCAAGAACAAAAATAGCAACAAATGTTGGCAAGGATGAGGTGAAACAGGAAACTATACACACTGATGGTGGGACTGAAAATCAGTACAACCATTATGGAAAGCAGTATGGAGATTCCTTAAAAAACTAAAAATGGATTTGCCATATGATCCAGTGATAGCACTTCTGGGCATATACTGGAAGGACTGTAAGTCAGGATACAAAAAAGACACTTGCACACCAATGCTTACTGCAGCACTGTTCACAACAGCTAAACTATGGAAAAAACTTAGATGCCCTACAATTGATGAATGGATTAAGAAACTGTGTTTAGGGGTGAGGATAGGTAAGACACCTAAAAAATTAGCTAGCATTTGTTGCCCTTAACGCAGAGAAACTAAAGCAGATACCTTAAAAGCAACTGAGGCCAACAGGAAAAGGGGAACAGGAACTAGAGAAAAGGTTAGATCAAAAAGAATTAACATAGAAGGTAACACACATGCACAGGAAATCAATGTGAGTCAATGCCCTGTATAGCTATCCTTATCTCAACCAGCAAAAACCCTTGTTCCTTCCTATTATTGCTTATACTCTCTACAACAAAATTAGAAATAAGGGCAAAATAGTTTCTGCTGGGTATTGAGGGGGTGGGGGGGAGAGGGAGGGGGCGGAGTGGGTGGTAAGGGAGGGGGTGGGGGCAGGGGGGAGAAATGACCCCAAGCCTTGTATGCACATATGAATAATAAAAGAAAAAAAAAAGAAACTGTTATATTATACATAGAATTCAATGGCTCAGCAATTATATATAACAATATATTATATATAATAATACATAATTACATGTAAGTTTCTTAATGCATCAGTTGTCATTCATTCAATATACATGATGAATCCATTCATCATACATATATGATGTATTCAGCCATACATAGGTATTTTAGTCAGCCATAAGAAAGAGTGAAACTACGTGGTTTGAAGGTAAATGGAAGGAATTGGAGGGCATCATGTTAAGTGAAGTAAGCCAGGTTCATAAAGCCAAAAGCCACATATTTTCCCTCACAGGCAGAAGATAGATCCAAAAGATTAATGTATCCACAAAAACAATCATTGTCATATACTCATGTACATGTAAAATATGTTTGTGATAGTGGAACTACACTACTGAACTTGGGGAAGAGGGAAAGCAAACAAGAATGACAGCCAACAATATCAAAATACTTCACATCTGCACAGGTAGAGGACATAATTATATGTACTGAAAGCTGCTGAATAATGGGGGGTGGGAAGGATGGAACAAGGGAGAGTAACAGAGGGAGCTGAAAAGCATATTCATAGTTGGGATACACTGAGAAAGCCTTTTGAACACTGACTTTGGAATTAATAATGAAAGATAAGACTAAAACAGGTACAGTATGTGAGGTGGTACTTGTGGATGGAGAGTATGAATGAAGGAGATGAAGGAATAGGGTTGAAAATAGAGTTCATATACATAAAGGAAATAGAATGATGAAACCTCTTATAATTGTTCTAAGTTGAATGGGAAGCAGGTGGCGATGGTAGGGTGAGATGGAGGGGAATGTTCTAACTATTGTACAGTGTAAGAGTATTCAGAAGCATCACAACAAATATATGCTAATATATGCTAATAAAAAAAGGAAAATAACAGATCCAAGGAAGTGAGATCAGGGAAATGAACCCAGGAAGGGAATATGGTGAAAAATCAGGATAAAGGGAATGGAGTCTGAGGAATGGAATTTAAGAACAACAAAAGAGTATAGGTAGAAAGAAAAAATAGAAAGTTGATTAGAAACAACAATGGACATACAACTATTTTTCTGTTGAACAATAACAGGTAAATCAGTATTTTTTCTTAATGCCTCCACCATTAGGACAAAGACAAAAAAATATATGATGCCACATATTTAGCAGAATTTTGGGGCTCATCTTTACTCTCTGTGGTAAAGGAAGAACTAGACAAGCCGATGATGGGATGATAAAAAGGTAAATACCTTACTGTTCCCATCTGTTTCTCATTTTACTGCTATTGCTGACCTGTCATGGAAAACTGAATAAATTATACAACTAACAGAACAGCAGACGTACTGCTGCTATTCTATTTCTCTCTATACTATATCTTTGGCATTACTAAGTAACAAGCAGATTTGAGTATTAATTCATAGTATTTAAATTAATATTTTTCATAAGAAATAAAAATGGTCTGCATAAAAATTATATTATGATAGAACTACAGAATCAAACTTTTAGATGCAATATATGTGTTCACATAAGATCCAACTTTAGGATTTACCTATACCTTTCTTTTAATTCCTTTCTCTTTTCTGTATTTTTATTCTTTTCTCCCAGAGATTCTGAAAGATTCTTAGTTTCACAAAGTCTTGCAATGTGCTAAACAGGAAAATGGGAAAGCAAAACAAGTAATTACCTGAAAGCAACAGGGATATATGTTTTCCTTAACAAAGTGAATACGATTTTTTTCTATAGAATATTTTTAATTTTTGTAATATTCACTTCTATTGAAGGTTTCTAAGAGTGAACATTAACATGAAATCACACTTCTTTAACTTTTCCTTACTACTGAATTATAAAATATAGATTTCAATGAACTCCCATATTTTAAACAAAAAGCACAGTCATAAGCAAAGCAGATATGGATACTTTACACAGGAACACATTTATCACATATTTTAAAGGAAATAACATCCATTTTTTTCTTATTACGAAAATTATTTTATGCTGGATGTAGTGGTACCCACCTATACACCCAAATACTTTGGAGGTAAGGACAGGAGGATCACAAACTTGAGGCCAGCTGAGGCAAAGTTAGTGAGACCCTATTTCAGAAACAAAATACAAAAACAAAAGGGCTAGGGGGCATGGCTCAAGAACGATAGTGCTTGCCTGGGAAGCCCAAGGCCCTGGGTTCAATCCACAGTACTACACATAAAGTTATGTAACTGATATTCAGTACCTCATACCTATGAATCTCTAATATAATTTTTAAAAATTATGTATAATTAGGTATTATATTCACTTTTTTCCTCAAAATTTGAAAGTGACTTTGATGCATTCTTTGGCCTATCTGAATTAAAGCCACAACTCAATGTATAACTCTAAAAATGTATTCAAGGAACTCTTAAAAAGTAAACTATTTCTAACCTACACTCTAAAGAGTATAAACTATAGCAACAAATTTTTCAAGATTAAATTCCTTAAATACTATCTTGTTCACTTTTTTGAAAACACTGTTGTTCTTTTAATGCCTTTATATTTTTGTTGCAGATCTGGGGCTGTACTCAGTGGGAAAGCACCTGCCTAACATGCACAAGGCCCTAGGTCTGATCTCCTACACTACAAAATAAATTAATAAATTCCTATAACTAATATACATCTTGTTTTTTCCTTATATTCTTTCCTTAGACCCAAAAGAAAGCCAAACCATTTCCTAAAGCTTAAAGTTAATTCACAGTTAAATATATTCAGTACCCAAAATACATTTTGGCTTCAAAAGTAAACTGAGGCAAATAAACTGTCCTTTAGCTATATTTAGACTGACTTAAAAACAGCTTTTCTAAGGCTATTAATGAACAAACCATTATACTTGTACAATAACACATACATAAGAAACATATAATAAAATATATACCTTGTTTAATGAATTAATTTCTATTTCCGCTTTATCTACTTCTTTCTTCAACTCAGATGAACTTTTGGTAAAAATGTTGGCATTTTTAATAATATCTTGTGTTTTACATCTCAAATTAACTCTTTTTATGTTAAGGAACGATATCATGCAAGTAAAATTTACATTTATAAGTAGTCAATATTACATAATGCTATTTGTATGTATGTTCCATATAGCAATAAGCAATATTAATAACAGTATCTGGAAACACAGGTAAGACTCAAATAAATATTTGGCATGCTAAATATAAATAATAAAGGTAATTTATTATTTACCTGTGCTATATATTCAATTTAAAAATAACATTTCATCCAAAATACTTATCAGAATTTTTTCTTTCACTTAAATATTTTCATAAGGTGCTATTTTGCTTTTCTTTTTTTACTCAAGTTCATTGTCTAATATAATGAGTTAGGTCCAAATTTAACTTCTTATGCTTCAAGCATGAGAACTTTTGGAACTTATTTTTCCAAAGCCAACATTAAAAATCCACCCAGTTTCCCTTTTCTTAAGCTGTGAGTTTCATTGATGTAGTCTACAGAACTCAAGAAGAGCTTCCATCTGGATTTTCTGCTTGAACTGAATTTATATTCAATTTCAAGCAGAGAATTTCATAGCTACTACTAGACATCATGCATGATTATTAGCTAATACATTTTCCTAAAATATTGTACAATCCATTTAGAATTTTAAAATGAATAAAACAGTAAACAAAACTCTAGTGAAAATTTATCAGACCTTTCTGATCCTGCCTTTAAGATATATGATTTACAAGCTACAGCACAACACTTCAGGTAAATATGATTTGTAAGGCTATCTTACTTAAGCTATCAATTGAAAGTTTTAGATATAGATATTTACATCCTAATCTTCAATTCTTCCTGCCTCCATCCACTGCTTGTCTGTTCTGCATCTCATCCAAACTTACATCCAACTCCCTAAACCCTTGCTGTTATTTTCAGCCTCTGCCCTCTTCTCACTAAGAAGTTAATGCACAGATGGGCAGCAAATGAACAACTAAAAACAGAATAGGCTGAAGTCAAAACATTGAGAGACTACTAGCAGAGGAGTTAGGAGAATGGTTTAGGATGTAACAAATAAGAAGCAAGATAGAATACATGGATAAAGAAGACTTAATACAAAGGGTGGAGTTATAATCTGACAGGAAAACATATAAAGGCTTGTGGAGGCTGAAAGAGGATTAAAGTTTCAAGTTCATCATCTCTGATAAACAGATGAGACTCAGACCAATTAAGAAGTACTTACATATCTATTACAGTGGTACTGTATTTGAATTATTTATTTACATGTCTGTCTCCTCTGCTAAACTGTGAGCTTCTTGCAAGAGAGCTCTGTAATTCCTCAGAGCTCTTACCAGACACAAGTTAAGTTTCCAGTGAATTTCTAAAGATGAATGAATAACTGTGACTCACTTCCTTATACCTTCTATCCTAAAGACAAGTTAACTAACCAATTTAATTGGACTTTCTTTGTTAAGACAGAGCAAGATCACTTTTCAATTGTTTTGGTTGCTAAGGCATGCCACTTTAAAGGTGGATACAAGCCAGGTGCTAGTGGCTCATGCCTGTAATCCTAGCTACTCAGGAGGCAGAGATCAGGAGGATCATGATTTGAAGGCAGCCTGAGCAAATACTTCGAGAGACCCTGTTTTCAAAAAACAGGGCTCAAAGTATAGACCATGAGTTCAAACCCCAATACCACAAAAATAAATTAATTAAATAAAGTCAGATACATACGCCATTTTATTCTCCCTAAAATTGCTTGCTTTTGATCACACATGAAAATTAAACCCAGAAAAATTTTAAGGTGACCTTTAAAATCTGACATAAACACCAAAAACTCCTCAAGATTCTCACAGGAAAACAAAATAACAATTACAATATAGAAATTACCCTGGTATAATAAAAACTATAAGCAGAAATACTATTGTGGATACATGTGCAATGTCCATTTAGTAAGTGATGGAAAGGGAGCAGGCACTGAAAAATAAAGTCATAGTTAAGAATGACCTATTATTCTTTTGATAACAAAACACCATAATTAAAACAATAAATAACAAAAATGTTAATACCTAGAAATTCCATGAGAATAGTTTCATTCATTTTAAGTTGTTCAGCAAATGCCAACACTCTATTTTGAATTTCTTCGTGTTCTTTTTTCTTCTCATAATATTCACGTGAAATATGTGTTTCTGAGTATTTTAGTTGGTATTGCTTCAAAACATCTTTATACTGACACAGATAACCATGATACATTTTTCTGTTAAAAAAGTAATGTAGGGTATATTTAAAAATTTAGTAAATATCACTTGTTAAGGTCTACCAAGTCAAACGTCTACTTGTCCCTGCTTCTCTTAATATTGTCTGCCTTTCAAACTTTCCTTAACCCTATCATACTTCACAACTATACTTTTTCTTCATTACCTGAATTATTCACTCTAATCCCCTTCAATTTAACTTCAAATTCCATCATTTTTATGACATTATTCTTTTCAAGGTCATAAATGATCTGTCTAATTTATCCAACTGAATGATCTTTTCTAAGTGCTCATGCTACATGCAATTACAGAACCTGGCTCTGTTGGTCACTAATACTTTCTCAAACTTTGATCCTAAGTTCTAGGTCTTTCTATGTGTTCTAGTTCAGCTACCTCTATATCCATGCCTTTTTAATCTTCTTCAGTTTTCTTTGCCAAAAATCATCACATGAAGTTACATTCTGTGTGTTAAGAGTATATATTCTTAAATCATTCTCTTTTTACACAATTCTTATACCTATTTTTAAGAAATAATAGTCATAGTAAACTTTCTAAAAACACATAGCTCTTACATTCTTCAATTTTTTTTTATTTCTTAGTTCAAGCCATACTACATGGGGGAATTTTCTAAAAGATGCTATAATGACTATTTGCCTTAGCAGACACACACAAAAAAAGAGCAAGTGTTCAAAAACTAACAATCTTGTACTGGTCAAAAAATCTGAATATTACAAGTAGTCAAATTTCTTTTTGGGGGAGTCAGCGATACTGGGATTTGAACTCATGGCCTCTCACTGCTAGCCTACCATTTGATCCATGCCTCTAGTCCTTTTTGCTTTAGTTACTTTTTTAGGTAGGGTCTCCTGTTTTGTTTATTTATTCGTTTGTTTTTTGCCTCAGCAGCCTGGACTTAAAAGAAAAAAAGAAAGAAAGAAAAGAAATAAGCAGCCAGCCAGTGTCTCTACTTCCTTCATTATTCCTGGTATCAACAAGTGGATCCTTTTCTTTTTATAAATGCCTGATAGTGATTCATCAATTCAGTTTATCTATGTGGCTGGCTGTTTTAGTAAAGAAACAGATGGCTGTTTCTACTTTAATACCTCTGGATAGCTCAGAGAGGTCATCTAAAACAAACACTAACAGAGAGGTACATATTTGGACTGTTTTACTTTAGTCTCTCACAGAATCATTTTTAAGAATTAATGTTTTAAAATAGCCATGACTTATACTGAATGATGTTGTAAGAAGCATATATATGGAGGGAGGAGGGAAGGAAGGAGAGAGGGAGGGATAGAGGGAGAAAGGGAGGGATGGAGGGAGGAAAAGATGGAGAGGGATAGAGGGAGGGAAGGGGGGAGGGGGAGAGAGGGGGGAGAGAGAAAGGGAAAGAGAGAGAGGGAGGGAGAGAGGGAGGGAGGAAGGGAGGAAGAGAAAGAAAGAGAAAGACAAAGGGAGAGGGAAGGAGAATGAGAAAGGGAAAGGGAAGGAGAGAGATTGGGATTATGTTTTGGGGGGAGAGGGCACCGATGATACTAACTACCACATTCCTCAATTTCCCCTTTATAAGGATCCAGGGGAGAAATTTCTCTCTAACCTTGGGGGAAAGCTTCCACTTATCCTAGTCAATTAAATGGCTTTTTTTAAAAAAGAATATTCTGAATCTCAAACTGATCACATTTCCCATGTCTGGACTACTGGCAATTTCAAAGACTAAACTGCACGTCTAATAAATGTGCAGAACTACATACAGTGAATTTCTAATTTAACCAAAGGCTTCCTATGTTATCCTTACTCCTTAGAGCTTTGTTTTTTAAATTTGGTTTTTCAAACACTATGATATTATTTATACAAATTATCTCAAATTCTTTTGGGAATGAAGCAGGGTCAATAAATGACAACACTCATACAGAAACAATTAACAGTCTTCATCTTTTCCACCTTTGGCCTACTCATTTGATGCTGGCATATTCTATTTTCTTCCTCTTTTTGCTGCATACATTTCCCTGGGAAATTTTATCTATTTCCATGATTTCTAATGCCATTAAGTCCAAATCTATAATCTTTAGCTCCTACCTTCTCTTAAGACTCATCTTTGAAAATAAACCATTAGAGGTATTTGCATGTTTTTAAGTTAATATATAAATTAGATAACTGTTCTGATATAATTATGTTAAAATCATTTCAGTTTTTTAATTATATGAAATTTTAATACTATATATCATGTTCAAAATCTCCCCCTCCTTTTTTCTTTTTTTTTTTTTTTTGGTGCTGTTGTTTTGTTTTGCTTTGCTTTTGTTTGTTTGGCAGTACTGGGGTTTGAACTCAGGGCCTTGTTGGGCAGGAGCTCTACTACTTGAGTCATGTCCCCAGTCCTTTTTGCTTTTAATTTTTAAGTAGCATCTTACGGTTTTTCGCTGGACTGGCCAGGACCTCAATCCTCTACTTATGCCTCCCACAGAAATAGGATGACAAGTGAGTGCCCCCACACCCATCTTTTTTAGTGAGATGGGGGTCTCACTAACTTTTTATAGTGCTGGTCTCCCAATCTCAGCCTCCTGAGTAGCTGGACCTTGCCTTACTCCCCTTGTTTTACTATGTTGACTGGTTACATTTAGTACCCAAGATGATGTGATTATACATACAATAAATGCACACAACCATTGGTGTTTCTCCATGAGAATATAACCACCCTACTAAATCAGCAGTCTGAAAAACTGAAAGTTTGTTATAAAATACCCTTAAGAAATCAATACCCCTTGGATTCAATCCTCAACATTACAAAAAAAAAAAAAAAAAGTCGAATTTTCCATACACTAATTCTATAGAAAATTATTCCTCTCATGTTTGGCTATTACCATTCAGTCATAAAGATCATTCATTGAAGGATTATACTACAATAATTGCTACTGAGAAATAGTTTATATCTGAGGCAATATCTAAACATATCCAGGGTTAGATAGAGTTTTACAATAAACCAGTAGACCTCTCATGGCATACAAAGTCCAAAATATTACATTTATCTTTTTAAAAAACTCTTAGAATATACTTTCTTCATTACTCAATTACCATTCTTACAAAGCATTTCCTAGTAATACTAATTTATAAAACTGATACACTTAAATTAATATATGTACTGTACTTGTCATTTTCAATAGTTTCTTGATAAACAGTAAACTGATCCTGCATATAATCTTCATGTTTATGAAAAACATCACATGTTGGCTTCCAGCTACAGAAAAAAAAATACAGTTGTAATTAGCACCTCAGAATTAGAAACAAATTAACAAAGATAATTTCAAGATGAATGCAATCATTTAAAGAAAAATTAATCTGCTTCCTCTGAGAGAAAACAAGTTTAAGACAAGAAAAATATTCTCATCTCCTGCTCCCACCAGCATTCATGTGCTGTTAATCTTCATAATTTTTACATAAAACTTGTTCACATGACAGGGAAGGAACAAATGTGCTATGGCTGGATTGTGTCCTGCTATGGCATTTCTATTGTACATTATATTAATACTCTTCTATTACTAACATTACAATATCAGTCCTTCTCTCTCATCATATTTCTAAGATCTTGACCAAGAAATTCTTTTGGAATAAGCATTAAAGAGCTTCAGATAAGGGCTAAAGAGACTTTTGTCTGTTCTTTACACTTACATTGTTATAGCCTCCTGAGCTAAAAGAAAGAAAGTAGGTCAAACTGAATTATAAAATCAGATTCTAAGAATAAAATGAATATCCATAACATGCATTTTTATTTCATTACTTGAAAACATTCTACCAATATGAAAAATCTAAAATTATCATATACCATGGCAACTTCTAGTCTAAGTATTACTTGAATTTTTTTTTCTAATTTTTTTTAGATTTAAAAAGTATACCTACCTACTTTAGAAGCACAGAAAAGTATAAAGAAGAAAATAACTACCATCTATAATCTCAGTATCAAATAACTAGTGTTATTTAATAAATTATCTCTGTATCTTGCCATGATTATATATTTTAACATAATTAAGATCACAATCACATATAACTTATATTCCCTTATCATTCACTGAAGTTGAACTCAAAATATTTTTCTGAATTTCTGCTTTTTTAGAAAATAACTTCCAAAATGGAATTATAAATTCAAAGATTTTTATATACCTATATTCTGAGCATCCAAAAATTCCATAAGAGCTACATGTTCTTATGGGAAGACATTTGCTATAAGAATTTTGATGCACATACTTCTAGATTCTCTTAATAAGACATAGATATATAATGATGAATTGGGTTTTTACTGTGACTGTTTTATAATCTGCTTTGTTCAATTTATAATATTCTGCTAACTTCTTTTTATGTCAGATATACACACCTGTCATAATTTCATTGGCTACTTTGTGTTTAGTAATTTGGATATATCAAAATTCACTTAACCAATCTCCTAATGTTAAACATTAGAATTATATTCAATGACTTGTCCTATCATAAAAGAGGTTGAAACAGAATTCAAACAACAGCAAGAAAATAAATGACAAGATTAAAAAAATGGATGAAAGACCTGAACAGACATTCCTCAGAAGTCTTTTATCTTAAAAAAAAATTTAGGTTGGATTCCCTTTACACAAAACTAAGATCTTGAAAAGTCAAAGATGGAAATTATTTCAACTTTATCTACTAGAAATTTTACATACTGACCTTAGATTATATTCAAAGTTCTGTGTTTAGACTAACTAGATTTGAATTGGTGAGTTCTTATGGCCCTTACTTGTATTTTTCTTTTGAACCTCCTGTGAGCCTTTCTACAGTAGCATATTACCAGTTTCAGACTTGATTCATTATTTTGCTAATATGGTTACTCTCTTGAAACTGAGATATAGCTCAGTGGAAGAGAAGCATGCACAAGACCAAAAAAACCCCCACTATCTTAAAGCAATAGTGTCTTCAGCTATAAACTCAGAAGCCTTGAGTAAAAGAGTCAAATGACAAATACTCACTCATTACAGTTGTCTTTGATTTCCTTACTATGTTTACAATAATGAGTAATTTCCTCCTCTGTTGTATTTATGGTTTCATGTATCTTACAAATAGCTGCTTTGTTTTCTTCAATATCTTCAAAGCATTCTGAAAAAAGGAAAAGATTATTTTAAGGTAGAAATGATAAATTCAAAATAAACAAACAAAAAAAAGTATATGGAAACTTACCTAAAGGGAGGAGAGTCAGAAAATGGAGAGGAAGTAAGGCCTGAGATGGAGAGGCACCTATTCTAAAAAGCAGAGAACCATAGCCAGGCCTAATCCTAGGCCCAGAAGCTAAGAAAGATTGTTTGAGATTGAAGGGAAATAAATGTCCCTTGCCTCTCATCTTAACTGGAAGAGGGCTAGATTAGGAGACATTTAGAGTCAATTCGTGTTATGATGCTATGAATTCATAAGCATTTACTCACTAATAATACTAACGTAAGGCTTTTATTTTTGACAAATGTGAAATTTGTTTTCCAATTCCAATTAAATATGAAATATACCTTCAACTCGATTATCTATTACTAGTGACTGAATGAGATAAAAAGAATTTTGTGAAAAGATTAAAATAATTTAATACTATATATTCTTTTCATGGTTGCAGAAAAGATCATTTCTATATTTCCAGAACTATTAAGAAGTTTACAGTTCTGTTTTTAGGACTAAAATATTTTAAGAACTTAAAGTACTATAATTCGTTTAATTTGCCTTGCCATTTCATTCATGGTATGATTTTTCAGATTATTCCTAAGAACGTGCCATCTGTCAATCTTGGCCCCTGATTTTTGGTGATTTCTACAGAGAAAAACTTCCAATATTTGAAATAACCTTAATAAAAATATCATTTGAACTGTACCTAAGGAGTCGTTATTGTTGGAAAACTGTAGTTAAGTCACAACTATTTTGCCTCAGGTAAATAGATCGTCATTAGTTAATAGAAAGAACTGCCACAGTAGAGCACTGGTGGCTCAGGCCTGTAACCCTAGCGACTTGGGAAGCTGAGACTGGGAGGATAGCGGTTCCAGGCCAGCACAGGCAATTAGTTGATGAGATCCCCATCTCCAAAATAACCAGAGCAAAATGGACTGGAGTTGTGGCTCAAGCAGTAGAGCTCCTGTTTGCAAGTGTGAAGCCCTGAGTTCAAACCCTAGTATTGCAAAAAAAAAAAAACCTGCCATAAAAATTACTATAAGCTATAAGCAAAACTCTATGTTGACCTACGTAGGGAAATTACATATTGTATGCCACAAAAATTAAGACTAAAATAGCTTTATCATGTGAAACTACTCACTATTAATTCTTTGAATCATATCTTCTTTAGTTCTTCTGTCTTGCTCATACTGGAAAACTAAAATAACAATTCTTTTATGACTTTATTTCCTTGTTAAAATCTCAAGTGATAAATGGTGACCTATTTATTTATTTTCATTTCATACCTACCAAATTCTAACAAAAGCTTGTCCAAACTGAGAAATAGGCCGTCATTCATCTTGGATACTACGTTTTAAAAAAAAATTACAAAAACGACAGTAAGATTTTCCGAAGTCCAGCCCAGGACAGCACGCGCAGGCGCAGGTGGGCGGAGACGAGGGCGCCGCCCGCGGCTCTGGGTGCTGGGGCTGCGGCGCCCACGGACAGCCAGGTTTCTCAAAACGACAGCCCTTTAAGACACAAGCCTGGCACTGACTGAGAAGGGGATGGGGACGTAATGCAGGGGTGAAGCAAGGCACTCCATTCGCATACATGCACTATCACAATAAGCCCCCTGGTATTGCTAATGTATGCTAACTCAAATAATTAAAAAGCAAGCAGGTCTCTGAGCCACCCCTTCTTGGCGTGTCTCCCCACGCCTAGCAAGAGTCCTGAAGCCCTTTCCCAGCCAGGGAACACCAAGAGAAGCGGTGCCCCTTTGTATTTACGGATTCTCCACCAGAAATTCAAGAGTAGGAGGCTTTTTCACAGGAGTGCCCACCCGCGGAACAGAACAACACAATCGCTCCCTCATGCCGCCACGCCACGCGCGGGCCACGCGGGCCACGCGGACACCGGGACCGGCGTCGCCGCACAAGCTCGAGGCGCCAGACTCCGCTCTCCTCAGAGCCGCTCACCGCCACATGGGCTCCCTTTCACACACCCGCCCCCACTCCCCTCCCATCCCACCCAGCTTCAACGCCCTCTCCCTCAACCCCGCCTCCCCGGGTCCCAAACTCCACTCAGACTCCCAGACTGACGCCAAAGTCGCCACCACAGACCAGGTTTCCTACAAGCCGAGCTCCTTCCCGCCCTCACCCCCTTGGCGCCAGCCCTAGTAGACCCTGCGGAGCACGCACGCACGGGCGTCAGAGCGTGCTCAGGGGAGAGATCTCGCGAGACCAGCGCTCTTTCCTGGGGAGCGAGCATCCGTCCAGGTGGGCGCCTGCAAACACAGACGGTGTTGGAGGAGGGCTGGGAGACCTGTGGGGACGTTCCGCTGCCCTGACGACAGGTGTTTTAAAGAAATCCTAGTCCCCTTGAGTTAAAAAGTATTTGGGAGATCAGCAATAAAATTGATACCAACTTTAACGTGAGAACAAGAAACTCTTGCATCAATAATCAAAATTCACTTTTAAATTCAGCATTTTCTAAAACGTATTGAACAATAACCATTATTCAAATACATTTTATTAGACATTTGAGACGGCCTCATTTGTTATTTCAAATAAAATATATTACCTAAAAGTGCTGTCCATAGATAACAGTGGAGAAAAACAATTTAAGCACCTAACTTCAATCTTTTTGGGGTTTGGGTGTTGTGTTTTTCTCTCTTTGTTGGTGCTGGGAATTGGACCAGATTCATCCTGCATCCTAAGTAATCACACCTTCTATATACCCTTCCTGGATCTTTCCGGGTTTTTCTTTTTTGGTGGTTCTGAGGATGGAATCCAGGGCCTCTTGCATGCCAGGAAACACTAAAACACTGAATTGCATCCCTAGCCCTGATCTTTTGTATATATTTTTTTTGATTTTTATTTTTTAATTATTCATATGTCCATGCAATGCTTGGGTCATTTCTACCCCCTGCCCCCACCCCCTCCCTTACCACCCACCCAGCCCCCTCCATCTTCCCCCCACCCCGTGGATACCCAGCAGAAACTATTTTGCCCTTATCTCTAATTTTGTTGAAGAGAGAGTATAAGCAATAATAGGAAGGAACAAGGGTTTTTGCTATACAGGGAGTTGACTCGCATTGATTTCCTGTACGTGTGTGTTACCTTCTAGGTTAATTCTTCTGGAACTAACCTTTTCTCTAGTTCCTGGTCCCCTTCTCCTATTGGCCTCAGTTGCTTTTAAGGTATCTGCTTTAGTTTCTCTGCGTTGAGGGCAACAAATGCTAGCTAATTTTTTAGGTGTCTACCTATCCTCATCCCTTGTGTGCCTCTTTTTATCATGTGATCAAGTCCAATCCCCTTGTTGTGTTTGCCCTTGACCTAATGTCCACATATGAGGGAGAACATATGATTTTTGGTCTTTTGGGCCAGGCTAACCTCACTCAGAATGATGTTCTCCAATTCCATCCATTTATCAGCGAATGATAACATTTCGTTCTTCTTCATGGCTGCATAAAATTCCATTGTGTATAGATACCACATTTTCTTAATCCATTCGTCAGTGTGGGGCATCTTGGCTGTTTCCATAACTTGGCTATTGTGAATAGTGCCGCAATAAACATGGGTGTGCAGGTGCCTCTGGAGTAACCTGTGTCACAGTCTTTTGGGTATATCCCCAAGAGTGGTATTGCTGGATCAAATGGTAGATCAATGTCTAGCTTTTTAAGTAGCCTCCAAATTTTTTTCCAGAGTGGTTGTACTAGTTTACATTCCCACCAACAGTGTAAGAGGGTTCCTTTTTCCCCCATCCTCCCAACACCTGTTGTTGGTGGTGTTGCTAATGATGGCTATTCTAACAGGGTGAGGTGGAATCTTAGTGTGGTTTTAATTTGCATTTCCTTTATTGCTAGAGATGGTGAGCATTTTTCATGTGTTTTTGGCCATTTGAATTTCTTCTTTTGAGAAAGTTCTGTTTAGTTCACTTGCCCATTTCTTTATTGGTTCATTAGTTTTGGGAGAATTTAGTTTTTTAAGTTCCCTATATATTCTGGTTATCAGTCCTTTGTCTGAGTGTAGCTGGCAAATATTTTCTCCCACTCTGTGGTGTTCTCTTCAGTTTAGAGACCATTTCTTTTGATGAACAGAAGCTTTTTAGTTTTATGAGTCCCATTTATCTATGCTATCTCTTAGTTGCTGTGCTGCTGGGGTTTCCATTGAGAAAGTTCTTACCTATACCTACTAACTCCAGAGTATTTCCTACTCTTTCCTGTATCAACTTTAGAGTTTGTCTGATATTAAGATCCTTGATCCATTTTGAGTTAATCTTGGTATAGGGTGATATACATGGATCTAGTTTCAGTTTTTTGCAGACTGCTAACCAGTTTTCCCAGCAGTTTTTGTTGAAGAGGCTGCTATTTCTCCATCGTATATTTTTAGCTCCTTTGTCAAAGACAAGTTGGTTATAGTTGTGTGGCTTCATATCTGGTCCTCTATTCTGTTCCACTGGTCTTCATGTCTGTTTTTGTGCCAGTACCATGCTGTTTTTATTGTTATTGCTTTGTAATATAGTTTGAAGTCAGGTATGTGATACCTCCTGCATTGTTCTTTTGACTGAGTATTGCCTTGGCTATTCGTGGCCTCTTGTGTTTCCATATAAATTTAACAGTAGATTTTTCAATCTCTTTAATGAATGTCATTGGAATTTTGATGGGAATTGCATTAAACATGTAGATTACTTTTGGGAGTATCGACATTTTTACTATGTTGATTCTACCAATCCATGAGCATGGAGATCTCTCCACTTTCTATAGTCTTCCTCAATCTCTTTCTTCAGAAGTTATAGTTTTCCTTGTAGAGGTCTTTCACATCTTTTGTTAGGTTTACACCTAGGTATTTGATTTTTTTTGAGGCTATTGTAAATGGAATTGTTTTCATACATTCTTTTTCAGTTTGCTCATTGTTAGTGTATAGAAATGCTAATGATTTTTCTATGTTGATTTTATATCCTGCTACCTTGCTATAGCTATTGATGATGTCTAGAAGCTTCTGAGTAGAGTTTTTTGGGTCTTTAAGGTATAGGATCATGTCGTCTGCAAATAGGGATATTTTGACAGTTTCTTTACCTATTTGTATTCCTTTTATTCCTTCTTCTTGCCTAATTGCTCTGGCTAGGAATTCCAGTACTATGTTGAATAGGAGTGGAGATAGTGGGCATCCTTGTCTGGTTCCTGATTTTAGAGGGAATGGTTTCAGTTTTTCTCCATTAAGTATAATGCTGGCTGTAGGTTTGTCATATATAGCTTTTATAATGTTGAGGTACTTTCCTTCTATTCCTAGTTTTCTTAGAGCTTTTATCATGAAATGTGTTGGATCTTATCAAAGGCTTTTTCTGCATCTATTGAGATGATCAAGTGGTTTTTGTCTTTGCTTCTGTTAATGTGGTTTATTACGTTTATTGATTTTCGTATGTTGAACCACCCCTGCATCCTGGGATGAAGCCTACTTGGTCGTGGTGAATAATCTTTTTGATGTGTTGTTGAATTCGGTTTGCCATTATTTTGTTGAGGATTTTTGCATCAATGTTCATTAAGGAGATTGGCCTATAGTTCTCCTTTTTGGAGGTGTCTTTGCCTGGTTTTGGGATAAGTGTAATACTGGCTTCATAAAATGTGTTAGGCAGTTTTCCTTCCCTTTCTATTTCATGGAACAGTTTAAGGAGGGTTGGTATCAGTTCTTCTTTAAAGGTCTGATAGAATTCAGCAGAGAATCCATCAGGTCCTGGACTTTTCTTTTTGGGGAGACTCTTGATTGCTGCTTCAATTTCATTTTGTGTTATAGATCTATTCAGGTGATTAATTTCCTCTTGGTTCAGTTTTGGATGATCATATGTATCTAGAAATCTGTCCATTTCTTTAAGATTTTCAAATTTATTTGAATATAGGTTCTCAAGTAGTCTCTGATGATTTCCTGGACTTCCATGGTGTTTGTTGTTATCTCCCCTTTTGCATTCCTGATTCTACTAATTTGGGTTTTTTTCTCCTCATTTTAGTCAGGTTTGCCAGGGGTCTATCGATCTTGTTTATTTTTTCAAAGAACCAACTTTTTGTTTCATTAATTCTTTGTATGGTTTTTTGGTTTCTATTTCGTTGATTTCAGCTCTTATTTTATTATTTCTCTCTATTTGTTTTGGGATTTGCTTGTTCTTGTTTTTCTAGGAGTTTGAGATGTATCATTAGGTCATTGATTTGGGATCTTTCAGTCTTTTTAATATATGCACTCATGGCTATAAACTTTCCTCTCAGGACTGCCTTTGCTGTGTCCCATAGGTTCCGGTAGGTTGTGTTTTCATTTTCATTGACTTCCAGGAACTTTTTAATTTCCTCTTTTATTTCATCAATGATCC